TCGTTCCTGATGACCGCTGCCAGCCCTGTGCAGCCCGGTCAGCCCCACGCTCTACCTCTGCTGACCTTGTTTTATGATTTTATTCTCTCTGGACAGGGCACAGCGTGGGACCTAAGCAGAGGACAGCAGCCGGGCCCAGGCCCCAGGAAGGTTTGCTTTGCTGCTTGCTTTCTGGTTCTGTTTGCTCTTTGGGGTCCTGTGCTGCCTGGGGCTCCCTGTGCATGGCTGCCCCATGCCCTTCGTGCTCTCTCTGCAGACCCCCGCTGTGGGGGCTGAGGCAGAGGGTGCTGAGGCTGATGGACGGGCGTGGGGGCCAGCCTAAACTTGGCGATTGACTAGTGTTAATTCATTTCTAATTGATCCGGGGATACTCATGTGCCAGGTGCCACGCCAAGTGTTTTTTTTTCTTTTTGGGTCATACCCAGTGATGCTCAGGGGTTACTCCTGGCAGTGCTGGGAAACCATACGGGATGCTGAGGAACGAACCTGGTTGGCCACGTGCAAGGCAAACACCATCACCACTGTTCTATCCCTCCAGCCCCACCACTCCATGTTTTCTATCATCTTGTTTAATAGGACAACGCCAGGAGGCAGGTAAACCTCATTCTACAGACAAGGAAACAGAGGGTCAAGAACAGCTACCTGCTTTATGTCTTGGCTCAAATGCCAGTTTCTCAACCAGACTCATCCTGACTGACCACTGTCCAGTGGGCATCCTGCCAGCACTCCTGACTTGCCCAAGTTGGGGGTCTGCCCAAAGCACGTGCCCCGTGACACATATGCTTTCCTTCCTGTGCACCTTTGGAGGGGTGGTCTGTGCTCCCAGGGGTCCCTCCCCGGTCATAGAGCTGTATCAAGCCCTCAAAGGGCCACACCAGCACAGCGGACACCACCAGCTGTCAGTGCCCCGGAGACTGACACTTCTGTCTGAATTCTAGCTGTGGCTACTTAACTCGGCCTATGACCCTGAGCATCTTATTGTCTCTGTGCAGCGTCAGCCTGTTGGGTGAGAAAACAGGCCAATCACACTTATCTCAGAAAAGGGAGGCGGGTGAGGATTCGCAGCGACACCAGTGTGAGCTCTCGGCTGCCGAGGCATTCTGGTCAGGAGGCCATATCTCTTCCTGCGGCTCCTTCTCGGTGCCTCCCCTTGGCCCAGCGGGGCCCTGTGAGGACAGGCTGGGAGGGGGCTGGGCAGCCTCCGAGGCACCATCCAGCCCTTTCCTCTCCCTCGCCTGCCTCCTCCCTCCTTCCAGGAGGGCCTGTTGCTAAGGAGATGCCACATGAGCCTCAGAAGGACGAGGCTGGGGCAGTCACAGGAGAAGAGAGATGACAGCTGACCCCCCGGGGAGGCACGGCGGCGGGAGGGACTCTGCTCAGTCCAGGGGCACCGTCAGCCTGGAATGTGCTGGGAAAAGTCCAGCTGGCACCGAGAGTAAATGAGTCCTCGCCTGCCTCCTCCCCCTCAAGCCTCCTGACTCAACAGAGATGACCGGCAGCCTCGTTTGGAAGCGGGATGGAGATGTGGCGGGGAGTGAAGTCCAGGGTGGCCGGTCTGGGGGTGATGCCCGGACCCTGAGAGGGGGCCATCGCAGCCAGAGTGACACATGATCAGACTCCTGGCCCTCGGAATGGCACCTCCCCAGAGCAGGACTGGTGACCGAGGGACGCCAGCGCTGGTTCTGTGGACGGCTCACCGTCGGTCCTGTGGCAGCGAGGGCTGGGCCAGCAGGCTCAAGCATGGTCATCTCGGCTCACAGTGGGCACATGGCCGGGAGACCCTCAGATCTCAGGCCTATGAGGCCTCCGTCTCCCCCTTCCCACCACAGCCTGGGCCCCGAGTATCATGAGAAGCTGTGTCTTTGTGGCTGGTACCCCCAAGGAGAGAGGGCGCGGTGCTCAGGCCCATGAAGTCTGGCTTGGCTGTACAACTCAGAGCACTCAGCATCTCTGTACAACTGGGCTGGTGACAGGATCTTCCTCTGCGGGTGGTGGTGGGGGCAGGGGCAATTAGTGTAAAGACCTGGGGTGCAGTCCAGACTCACTCTTAATTATTTGGTGGGAACTTTCCCGGGAGAGAAGCCTTCTTGGATAAAATAGAGAAAACCATCCCTCCTCTTGGGCTTCTCTGGAACTCGGGAAGCTCTGTTGGGCAAAGCTGCCCAGACCCTCTCATGACCTGTCAGACCCCGATGACGCCTGCCCTTCTGACTCTAGCTCAGCGGGACCCCTGGGTGCAACCTGGGTGGGGAATAGCGAGGAGAAAAGGTGGTGGGCTAAGTGCTGAAGGGGAAGGAAGGGTTTGGGCCACCTGGGCTCAGAGGAGGGAGACATGGAAGATTGTGGGGAATGGGACCTCCGAGGCTGGCTCGTGGAGGGGGTGGCCATTGTGGAGGTAACACCCATTGGAGGTGCCAACCACTGCACAACACAGACTGCTGACGCACTGGCTGCAAGAAGGACCCTTCATGAGTTGATTGAGGACCTGCCTGCCATCTTTGTCTTCTAGCCTCATATTTATGCCAACACAAACATTTTGGGGGCAGGGGCTTGACCCCCTTCCTGGAGGGACCTTGTCATGTTTCCCAAGAGAGAAACCCACGCTTGTCACAGCCATGGGTATTAGCGAATGTTTGTTGAACAACCGCACGAACAAGTGAGTGCTTGCAGACAGTCACAGTTTTCCTTCTTTTTTCTAGGGAGGTGGTGGTGGCACGCAGTGTTGAGGATCAAATTAGGGACTTCCAGGATGTATGGCATGTGCTCTAGCCCCTGAGCCATCTTCCTGGCCCTGACGCCTGACTTATTGATAGTCAGCCAGCTGAGCCCTTGGTCAATGCAAGGGCCTGAGGATGTGGTGCTGCCAGGAATCACTTGGCCCCTGCAGGGTACTCAGGAGATTCCAGGCTGCGCCCAGCAATGCTTCGGGGATCGTGTGGTGTCGGGAATCAAACTGGAGTTACCACATGCAAGGCTTGTGCCTTAACCCTCCTATGACTTCTCTGGCCTAGAGCTTCCTTTCTTATCTACAATGCAAGAACCTAGCTAGACTCTTTAGAGAGCCCCTCGATGTCCCCCTCCTACCCCATACACTGGCTCAAGGCAGTGTAGGGATGGTGGCGACCATGTCACCTTTCTTTACCAAACTCTTTTTTTAGTGCTGACCTCAGCAGCTGACCCATACGAGATGCGTAACCAAATCTGTTGCATGAAGGAACGACTGTAAGGTCATCTCGCTCTGGACATGGGCAGCTCTGGTTGTGTCCTTAGCAGTTGGGGCCTCTTGTGATGCCACCCCCCCAATCCACAGAATGACAGGAATGTGCCCCAAGGTGCACATTCATGAAACCCGAAGTGCAAGGAGTCACGGTCATGACTTTTGAGGCCTTCTTGGGCGTGTCTGTCATTCTAGGTCTTTTGACCATGCGGCTACCTTGCCAGCTGTCCTGCCCTTTATTGCTTCTTCTTCTGTGTGTGTGTGTGTGGGGGGGGGCTAGTTAAGGGTTATCCTGTTGCTGACCATTGCACCGGGAACTACTGCCTCTGTGGGTAACTTATCTCAATGTCATGGATCCCCTTGCTGGTCTCTCAGAAGGCTGTGACTTTCAGAGTGACAGGGATAGGACTGTCTGCTGTCACTGACTTGTAGGAACCCTTGCTAGCTTGGCAATAGCTGGTCCCGTGCCCTTGGGCTGATCACTCTGTCTGAGCCTCGTGGTGCTTCTGGGTCCTTTCACATCTTTTATTCTACATCAACACCCAGGGGTGGGCTTTGCAGAAGTGAAGTGATTTTTAAGCGGGTCTGTGCTTTTTCTGTGAAATTGTCGCTGTTTTTATTTTTGAACTTTTCATTTAGACTTCTGTTCCGAGCATAAAAATGGCACAAGCTATGAGGAATTAATATTTGTGATTTATTGTTAGTGTTATTGGGATATCAGGAAGTAGTAGGTGTTTTTTTGTTAAATATGGTTTTAAAAGGTTTGCTGCATTCTTGAGTGTGCTTTTATTATATCTGGGGGCAACTCTGCCCCTACTTGTAGAATAGATCTGGGATTGATAAGGAAACAGCACTCCCGAGGCTGGCATGCAACTGTTCTCTGGCCTTACATCATCCCCAGACGATGCTCTGGTTATGGGAGCTGCTCAGTTTTGGTCTTCCCAGAAGACAAGGCATCCAGAGATGCGTCCTGCCCACCTCCAGGTATATACTGTGGCGTCTCAGAAGGAAAAGGGTTCTTAGGAATGCTCCTGCCCAACTCTCTTATCATTTAGAATTAGGAAAGCAAGACCCAGAGTGGAGAAGTGATTTCTTCCAGGGAAAAGGGCCTGAGGCTTCTCCCCATCAACCCCCCTCTCTCCCCTGTCTGGCTGCAGCCCAGCCCCCCTGAATGTGAATACCCCTGCTCATGTCTGGGCCTGACTCTCCTGATCTCAGAGCAGTTTCTACCCCATGATGGAAAAACTGTTGCTAATGCAGCCCCTACTCACCCCAACACATTTGTCTTCTCCAGCCAGGAACCAATATCCAGCAGAGAGTTTATTGGCACGATTTCTCCAGAAAGAGGCTGGAAGGCTTGGCAAGTTCAGACTTTAATGTTTTTATCCAATCTCCCAAAGGAGCACCCCTTTCCCCTCCCACCATCAGCACCAGTCCAGATTAAACTTTTCTCTACCACAGGAAGTCACGGTGCACAGAGCAGAAGCAGCACAGGCCAAACCAGCAGGCACCTGGAGCTTTGACTCAACAGAGCCAGCACGGCAAGGGCGCCATCTTTGTTAAGGGCAAACTAATACCGGGGCGACACCAGAGAACACAGAAAAGTTGGGACTCTCTTGATTCTTCCGAAGGAGCGAGTGAGGCAGGATGGTGTATAGGGCAGACTTTCCTTTTCTGTTTTCTCAGAAAACATGCAAAGAAAGGCTTCACAAACAGCTAAGGTCACACAAATATCATCTCTCAAACTTCCCTTTTCAAAGATGGCCACCCCCATTCACAGGCACACACACAGCAGAACCGAGTCTACTGGGCGTGGAGAGAGACAGGTAGTGGGAGAGATTTAGTTTTCCACAAAGGTTGTCAGTTTTTTTTTTCCTTTATTGACAGGATTTAAAGTGCATATAACTGAAGGCAAAGTCCAAGGCCTAGAGAAAGATATAAGGCCCGAGAGAGAGGCTCAGAGATTCTAAAGGCGGCAGAAGGATACCTACCTAAAAAGGCCACTTGAGCTGCAGAAAGGAAGGGGCAGGGAGAGAGACAGATGGAGGAAAGAGAAAGAGGGTGGAAAGAGAGAGAGGGGCGGGGTGGGGGAAAAATGTGGGAAGAAGAAGAGAAATACCAGTTCAGAAATCTGGACACCACTAGTAGTCGGAGCTAGTCTATATACCTGGAAAAGACGGGCTGAACTTAAGGTAGGAACCCTTGTCTTAAGAAATGTGGGAAGGGGACAATAAAAGAAGGGTCCCAGGAGAATAGGACAGTACCCAGGGGCCCTTCCAATGGGGCAGTAGTGGAGGGGCTTCTCCACGCGTCTGTCTGGTGTCCGATGTTCACTGGAGACCCGCTGGAGGGGGTGAGGGAAGCCCATCCACCAGGAGAAGGGGCCGGACGTACTGATGTGGGCCCCCCTGGGTCCCTCCAATGGAGACACAATCCCTGGCTCCTGACAGAGGTGGCCCCACTCACCCACACAGGCCGAGCCATCCTCGTTGGGCTCGAAGCCCCGGCTGCACCGCCGGTTGGTCCGGCATCTGTAGCTTCCATATGTGTTGACGCACACGGGCTTGTCTCGGGGACACACGAAAGGGAACTGGATGCATTCGTTGGTGTCTGAAAGGGGTAGGGGAGCCACTCATGGGGGGCCCGGGGACAGGGTTCCGGCTCAGTGATGGTGTGGCCTTGCTGCTATGTCTGCAGTGGCCTCCTCCTGCAACTGGGGTGCCGGCCTGGGCCTAGATCTTTGTTTCTGTTGACCACACTTGGTCTAGGTGGTGCTTTCCAGATGGATTCCAGTCTCCCTACCTGCACCTACAACCTCTAGTGCCCGAGACTCACGAATCCTTCACAGCGCTTCTCAGATTCTATCTGTCCTCGGTGGAACTTGAGACGTTTCCTGACCATCTACTCCTTTCTGCCCCTCGAATCAATCAAAGCCTCCGCTGCTCTAACACCAAAGTCACTCCCGAGTGAGTCCTCTTTCTTCCCGACCCTGCACATGAGTTAACCTCAGATCCTGCCAGTTTGGCCCTCGCTCCAGTGTCAGTCTACCCTCTTCAGCTACTTCCTCCTGGCTGGCCTCCTGGTCTTCCCTCCCACCAGCCTGCTGTTCAACAGCCAGAGACAGGAGCCTGGGTCTGGGAGACAGCTCAAAGGGCTGAGCACATGCTTTGTTTATGGGAGTCTGGCTTCCATCCCCGGCGCCGCACTATCCCTGGACTTGGCCGAGTAACCCCCACCCTGGCCTGGCTGGGTAAAGTCACCTCCTTGCTCTCCCCTGCCCCAAACCAAACAGAGCCCAAGAACCCGCCAGGTCACTATCCCATATGGCAGCCTGGGACTGAACTGTCCGGGCCCTTTTGAGCCCTGCCTGGGGCCTATGATCTCCCCGGCATGTGGGATGGCCTTGGATGTCCCCACTCTTCTTCCTGCTCCCACCCACTGTCCTCTGGGAATCTTTGTGGCCAGACCCTCTCACCCAGGTCTTGGCTGTGAGGGCCTCTACCTGACCGCTAGGTCCATCCACAACAGTCCCCAGAGAGTACCTTGTACAAGGGGCTTAACTCATCTCTTCCACTGGTGGGGAACTGGGGCTAGGGGGGACCCACACTGGCTGACGGGGTCAAAAAAGGCAGTATCAGTGAGATCTGGTGAGCTGACAGGGTCCTCGCGCTCAGGGGACAGATGTTCTGCAATGTTTGGAGCAGTAGGGTGGGGGCTGGTTCCCCCCAGGGTCTCAGTCCTCCCTTTTCTCTCCTGTGTAAGCCCCACAGTGCCTCCTCCCTCTGAACACCTTCTCTCTCTGCCTGGTGGGTTCCCGGTCACTCCTCAGCTCTAAGCCTGGTCCTTTGCTCTCTCTGGGGTATCATCTCGAGGGGCAGTTTCAGGGCTCCCCTTTGTCTCCGACAGCCCACGCGACCCCTACCACCCTTGCTCTGCCCCTTCCCTTACTGTGGTCACTGGCTCTCTCCATGGGACCCTCAAAGCTCCGGGTATACAGCTGGTGATGAGCACTCGCAGAGGGAGTTTGGGCAAATGCTGCCCCCCATGCTGCAGCCAGGAGAACCCCTGGCCCAACCCTGTGGCTGGCTCCCGTGATGGTGGAAGGCACTGGCTGGAACCCAGGGTTGATGGCCTCCACTGCAAGGCCATCAGGTGACATCAGAAGGTCACTGGACCCCTTGAGCTGGGATCCAGGGCATGCTGGGGTCTACCCTCATTCGTGGGCCAGACTCCCTCTGGGCGGATTTTACTCCAATGCCCCTTGGCCGTGCCTGGCCATGCCTGCCTGTAGCCGCCAGTCCCTCTGCTTGCTACCTACAGTTGGCCAAACTAAAGTCACCTGCTCTCCAAGGAAGACAAGAGCCCAGATGAGCCACTGTTGCCTCCAGAGGCGCCTGTGTATGTCTCCGGGTCCCCTTCCCTCCCCTGCTGAAGCTCCACCAATTCCCAGAAGACCAGAGAGACTGCCTGCTGCCTGCACCCTGCCCCTGTGAGTCAGAAGAAGCATCTGGTGCCTCCCTGGGGACAAACAGCACACTCCCCCCCGTCCCACCTCGGCATCCCCAGCCCAGCCAGCTCCGGAGCAGGTGTGCTCTGGGCGAGTTCACACCTTGTCCCGAGACCCAGGCAACTCACCCATGCAATGGCCATTTTCCTGCTGGGAGAATCCTTGGCCACACTGCAGAGGAAGGGGGAGAGGGAGAGAGAGATTAGGTGCGGGGAGAGGTTCACTAGCTCTAGCTGGCTCCCAGCCACCACTCCACCAGAGTCAGCAATTCCCCAAGGGAATACTGGTCAGTTTAGCTCTGAGGGGAGGTGGTTTCCTCCCCTGCAGATCCCTTGCTGACTAGTTGACTCAGAGAATAGGAGACAGTGGTGGGGCAGGGTGTGTTTGTGTGGCGTCTGGGAGGGGGGTGCACTTACAGCAAGAACAGGCTCAGCTCCATCCTGCCCTCCCCTCACGTGGGTTCCAGGCCCCTGTGGGGCAGCTGGCAGAGCCTGTGGTTCCATCAGTGCCCTTGAGACCACAACTGCTGGGCTCAGAGTAGGATGCAGTTAGCAGGTGCTCCTGGAGGGGCCTGTTCTCCTCCCATAGCCCCTTTCCCCTTCTGCCAGACCCTGCAGACCCCACTGTCTGGGCAGTTCCACTGACCTAAGGGGTGCTCTTCCCTGCTGGGAGAGTGAACGAAAGGCTTTGCAGCTGGGGTTTGGAGAGAGAGAGAGAGAGAGAGAGAGAGAGAGACAGAGACAGAGACAGAGAGACAGAGACAGAGAGGGAGGGAGGGAGAGACAGAGAGACAGAGACAGAGACAGAGAGACAGAGATCGAGAGGGAGGGAGGGAGGGGAAGCGAGGGAGGGAGGAAGGGAGAAAGGGAGGGAAGAACAGGTCACAGCAGCCCCGTGGGGGGTGCAGCAGCAGCCTGGGGCGGGATGGGGACCCAAGACAAGACCTGGACTGTCTAAAGCAAGCGAGGAGTGGGGAGGGGCTTCTAGGGAAGCGGTGCCCCGCTCCCATATGGTGTCACATGCGTCCTGGGGCTCTGGGGCTGAGCCTCCTCTAAGCTGCTTCTTCTGTGGGAGCTTAATCAGTGTCCCGCGCTTTGCAACCCAGGGGCGCCGGTCAGGGCTGGGATCCTGAGAGGAGCAGCTCACCCACGGCCCACCTGGGCCCTGAGCACTTGGCCAGAGGTGTGGAAAGAGCCGAGGGGGAAGCAGGGACCCGGGGCCGGCTTTAAAGTGCTCATATTGGGTTCGACAGTCAGGGTGGCTTCTCTGTCTGGCCTCGGTTTTTCCTCCTCTGTCAAAGGGGTACGCCAAGACTTGCCCTGCATTAAGCCCAGGGTCTGGGTGAGAAGCAGGAGTGCATCATTGGATGTGTGTGTGTGTGTGTGTGTGTGTGTGTGTGTGTGTGTGTTGCTGGGAAGGCTGCCCTTGGCTGGATTTCCGTTGCTCTGGAGGCAAAGCCTGCAGGTTTCTGGAGATCCAGCCTCAGCCTCCAGGCTTGGGGTGGGGGATGGCAGTTGCTCTTCTGACATTGAGGTCTTGGACCCTTCACTCACCTCCAGAGGAGCTGGGTCTTGAACCTTGTCCTCGTCACGGGGGTAGGGGATCTCCAGCACTGAGTTCATTTCCCCACTGGCCACGCGCCGACTGGCCATCTTGCCATCTGGCCAGGTCACTTCCACACTGCTTGCTTCGTCCTTCCCTGCGAGGCGGGGAGAGGGGTCAGGGGAGGCCAGTGGAGCTTTCCCAGTGGAAGCCTCACCCTTCACATACCCATTAAATTCCCGCAACAGGGCTGGCACTATGCTCAATGCTTTGGGATGCCAGTGAAACGGTTTATCAGGTCCGTGGGCTGGTGCTGTCCTGGGCCTCATTCTACAGATGGAAATGTCCAGCTTCTGTTTTTCTCACTACAGTAGCCATGGCTACAGGTGGCCACTGGCCGCTGGTAATGGGACTCAGATGAGCATGAAACTGAATTTTTCTTTTTCTTTTTTTTTTTTTTTTTTTTGCTTTTTGGGCCACACCCGGCAATACACAGGGGTACTCTGGCTCATGCACTCGGGAATTATTCCTGGCAGTGCTCAGGGGACCATATGGGATGCTGGGAATTGAACCCGAGTCAGCCGCATGCAAGACAAACGCCCTACCCGCTGAGCTATCACTTCAGTCCCAGAAACTGAATTTCTTTAATTGTTCATTAATTTGGTGTCACACCTGATGCTCAGCCTTTATCCTGGCTCTGTGCTCAGGGACCCTCCACCCCGATCAGACAACACAGTTCCAGAACTTACCTTCGGGAGCTTGAGGGAGCATATGGGATACTGGGGATTGAGCTTGGGTTGGCTATGTGCAAAGCCAGGGCCTTCCCTGCTGTGCTATCTCTCCAGACCTTAACTAACTCACACTTTAATGGCTGCATTGCTAATATCCCCAAAGACCAGACCACACAGCACCAGACTGTGCATTCTAGGGGATGGGCCTTCAGTGTGAGGTCACTTTTAGGGAGATGGTGGTTAACGGTTGACTTTGGAGTCCTGGGTTCAAATCTTGGCTGCACCACTGACCCGGTATGTGAGAAAGAATATGGTGGCGGGTGGGCACCTGAGACACCTGGGCACAAATACCAACTCTGCCACTGACTTACTGTGTGCTCCTGGGCATGTGATGCCCCCTCCTTACCCTGGCTCTACCCCGGCTCGGGCTCTGTCCCTAGCCCCACCCTGGCCTCTCCCTCTCGCTCTCCCTCTATCCCTCTCCATCTGTATTTGTTTCTCTGTCCCTGTTCATCGCCCAAGAGCCAGGATGCCTTTCTCACTGGGCATGTTTCTGTGCCCAGAGACCTTCCCCGCCAGACACAAACAAACAGCTGTTGCATACGAACAAGCTCCAGGAAGAAGGTCCAGCAGGGCGGGGGCACCAAGAGGCCCTGGGGATGCTGTCTGGTCAGGGTGGCCAGGACCAGGCTCCTGGGGAGAAGGCGTCTGAGCTGAGCTCTAAATCAAGGCTGGGTGATAAAGAACTGGCAGGTGAAGGGCCTTCAGCAGAGCTGGGCAGTTTGCAAGAGCCGATGGCAGGGCTGCCTGCTCATATCCTCAAGAAGACATGCCATGGGACGGGCGGAGGCAGGCTGGACAGAGGGCTCACTGCCCGGGCATCACTGTCAAAGCCCGTGGCAGCTCTCTGCAAGGACATCGGCCTGCGCTGTGGCCATGTCAGGCTAATGGTGATGGATCTAAGGGAGGGGACGGGGGGGGGGGCTGTATCTTCCCTGCAGAGAGAGGCCCACTCCTCATGGGTCACCTGGGGAAGGGGCAGACCCAGTACAGGTAGGAGGGAGGGGAGAGGCCTCTTGCCATCAACCACCAGGTAGTTGGAGCCAGCCACCCTCACATGCATCCCAGCATCACTTGGGGACTAATGGAGTGCCGTGTCACTGACATGTGTGTGCCACCTTGCCTCCTCATGAAAAGTGTTGCCAGAAAGCCAGTGAGGTACAGGGAAGGAGCACAGGGGTCAGGCACTTACTTTACATGCAGGGATGTCTGATGGTCCCCCAGCACCACATTCACAGGCCCTGGCCTTGAGATATCTAAAGTATTTGGTGACACTCATGAGTGTCACCCAGAGCCCCTGGGCCCCCTGAGCTCCTTGGGAAGTCCCCAGTATGACAGGGGAGGCTGGAGAGCACTGTGAAATGCATAGGTGCTCTCTGTTAGGCCTCGCACCAGTAGATTCTACAGTGGTGGCTCCTGAGGGGTGGAGGAGGACCTGGGAGACATTTGCATGATGAGAGGGAGCCCGTACTTTAGAAAAGGCTGGAAGCCGCGTCCAGACTTGGCAGAGAATCTCTGCGTTGAGTGTTCTCTGTGAAGTTCGCTCTCAAGGTGGAGTTAGAAGCTGCTTTCCCTGCTATCCCATGGCCCGGTCTCTGATTTCCGGTGATATCTGCAGTGTCATCTACATTGCAGCATCTCGAAGACACATCTTGTAGCTGCCTGGTCCTGTCTGAGTCCGGATCCTTTGGTGTTCGCTGCCCCACCTCCAGCCCCAGGCCCCGAGACTTCTCACTGGCATGTCCCGGGCGCTCCAGCTGTGACCAACTGGAGGCGGCGTCAGAGGGGAGCGGCACAACCGTGCTAGGGGTCTGGGGGCGACTCCCACACCAGGTTCCTCTTCTCCCTCTCCCAGGCTCCTCTGACTGCTTCTGGGGCTGCAGTGTTCACCGTACTCTATAGCTCTACTCTCTCCTGCCACAACCATTTTATTTTTTTGTTGGGGGGGGGGGGGTGTGGTGGGAGAGGGCACAACTATGGGATAATAATATTTGGTTTTTTTTGCTCTTTTTCTGTTTTTGAAGTAGTGTGTCTTGGGAAAATGTAACATTTTAAGGGTGCATAGCTCCCAGGTTCAGCGGCAAACATGAAAAATAAACATTTTCCATTTTAAAAAAGGAGACAAAGAAAAGCAAATGTTTCTCACCTAAGCCAACAGAACAGCTCCATGAATACATTACCCAGCCTGACTGAAGTGCCACAAATAACTCGGAAGAGTCGCCGAATATTCATAGACAATCAGAAATTTACATCCTGGGTTTGCTGCACGCCGCAGCAGTGCAGAGCTGAGCCCGGCCTCCTTCCTGCCTGCGGAGGGCACATGCCACAGAGGCTGGCTCTGACTCAGCACGCCACTCCCTGGTCCCTAGGCACATGCACCCAATCTGTCCCTGTCACCGCTTGGGTCGGTCTGGTGGCCTCTTGTAGCTCCAAAAAAGATTTTCACTGTAGGACAGTCCTAGAAGATTTATCACCCCCAACTCCACTAAGCGAGTCGGGGGATTTGCCCATTTGTTCCTCCAGTATCTCCCTGAGGAAGGTTCTAGTTTGACAATGTCCATTTAAGAGACCAGGACACTGAGACTTGGAGATGGGGAGCAAATCAACTAGTGTCCCAGCTAGGGCATGCCATATTTTTTGTTGTTTGTTAATTTTGTTTGTTTATTTGGGGCCACACCCAGTGGTGCTCAAGGCTTACTCCTGGCTCAAAACTCAGGGATCATACCTGGCAGGGCTCAGAGGACATATGGGGTACTGGGGATTGAACCCAAGTCAGCCACCATAGTACCTTATCTGTGAGATGGCACTGGCTCCCCTGGGGCACTGGCCCCCTAGGGCAGGTCTTACCTCAAGGTTCATATCTGCTCTTTGTTCTACAGAGACCCCCCTCCCCACCTCCCGTCCTTGGACTTAGCATCATATGGGGGATGGGTTGGGAGCTATGAGATTTGGCAGGAAAGAGACAGACCCAGGTTCCAAGCCAGGTGGTGAAGATGCCCAGAAAACTGGCCAGTTGCTGCCCTGGCCGTGGCCCCTTTCATCCAGGGGAGCAGCGGTTTGGGTGGGGAGCAGGGAGGGCTGCAGGAAGCCCCTGGACATGAAGTGAGGAGCACTGGAGAGTGGCCTCTGGCAGCGATTGAAGGACAATGGCCCTGGAGGCACCGAGAGCTGCGCTTTTCAGAATCACGAGCAAGACAGATGGTGAGAATACAGTTGGTGGAATATTTTTGCACTTTAATAAAGCAATTTTTACGTGGCCCACTGAATTTGTCTTCCCTAAATGAGCACCAGCGAGCTTGGAGGCAGTTCTGAGTCACTTGCAAACAATTAGCTAAAAAAAGAAGGGGTGTGTGTTTGTGTGAGCTTGTGTGTCCGTGAGTGTGTTTTTGGGTGCGTGGGCATGTGAGTGTTGAGTATGTAAGTGTATGTGTAAGTCTGTGGGTGTATGTGAGCATATGTTTGTGTGTGCTTGTGAGTAAGTGTGTTTGTGACATTGTGTGTGAATGTGCTTGTGTGAGATTATATGAGTGTAAGATTGTGTCGAAGTGTCTGTGTAGGAGATTGTGTAAGTGAATGTGTGTATGTGAGGTTGTATGTGAGCTTGTGTGTGAATATGCATGTGTGTATGTGTGAGATTATATGAGTGTAAAATTGTGTGGAAGTGTGTGTGTGAGATTATATGTATGAGATTGTGTAAGTGAATGTGAAATTGTGTGTGCCTATATGTGTGTGACTGTGTGTGTATGTGTGTGTGCATGCGCAGTCACTGTTTGGGCAGAGCTGGCTGAAGGGAGGGAAACGGGTGCTGAGCTAGCTGATTCTTGGCTTCTGGTTTGTATTTTCTGAGTGGGCTTGAGTTGCCTCAGCCCCTGTCATCTAGGAAGCGGACAGCCAAGGTGTGGGGTCTGGGGATGGAGTCTGGGGGGCCTCCGACAAGCACTGTGAGCGGAAATGCTGACTGATGAGATTGGAGTGGCTGCGCTCGAGAGCAGGGAAGGGCAGAGAGCAGGCAGGATGGGGGGCCGTGGTTGCATAAGCGAGGGTGTCCCTTGGGGGGCAGGCTGAGCAGGGACAGTTGGACAGGAGTGAGAAGCAGAGAGCACTGGACCCGCCCCCTCAAACAAACACCTGCACAGTCCGTGGGTTTACACTGTGCGTCAGAGCAGCAGGACCCTGCAGAGCGGGCACTGGGAGGAGGGCGGAGAAGCCTGACCACTGGGATCTGTAGCCTGGAGGCTCCTCGGACTGGTGCCCACATGATCAGCTGAGACATGAGGGTAAAGGCAGGCCCAAGGAGGCCTGAGAGGTAGGCATGTGCACCCTCAGAAACAGACCCTGTCTCAAGGCTTATTCCTGGCTCAAAACTCAGGGATCATATCTGGCAGGGCTCCAAGGACCATATGGGGTACCGGGGATTGAACCCACCACTTGCAAGGTGCCACAGCACCTTACCTGTAATGCACGGAGGGAGGAGATGGGAACAGGGGGTGGTGAGAGTGTGAGACCCGCTTCTTGCGCCTCCTCCTCCCGTACAACCCAGGCACCGTTTCCACCTCATGGGCACGAGACTCCCACCTCCTCACCCCAAACACCACACAGCCACACAACAGATGCTTCAGTTTGACCATGAACTGACCCTCAAAGGGGACATGCTACAAGGGACAGACACCACCCCCAACAACATCCCGGGCAGCACCTCAGGAGCACAGAGCATACCCCCAGGGGTGGGGGGAGCAACTAGGGTCTGCTGAGGGCAGGGAGCAAACAGCATGTTTGGAATAACAGCAAGAGCAGAACCCGGGGCCTCACACTCCCACGGAGCCCAGGAGCATAATCACTTGTTTTAAAAAGTCTGCGGGAGACTTTATCTGTCAGTGCCCTCCAGCAGATGAGCCTGCCATCAAAGCTGCTTAGAAAGCACAGGGCTTTGGCTGCCACTGACCACTGACCACTGACCTCTGCAGCCCTGAACACTGCTCCTTGCAGGTGGGGGATGGGGCTCCGCAGATGAGCACTTGCCTTGCATGCATGAGGCCCTGCGCTGTTTAATTCCCCAGCACTACAAAAAAACAGCCTAAACCAAGCCCGAACCAAACTGCTGTGGGCCATTTGGCCTCTGTTCCTAGTCCCCGTGCTTGGAGTTTTCTTTCATAGCACTGATCCCTGCCAACGTCTGACGGACGTGCCTGCTCGTTAGGTTCCTGGGCACCAGGTCTGTTCTCTGGGCCCTAGAAGGCAGGAATGTAACGTCTTTAGCACCTGGCACAGAGCAGGTATCTGGTACTGTATGTGGGAGGAGGAGGGAGGGAAGAAATGCATACTTAATTTTTTTTTTTTGGTCACACCTAGTGGTATCTTTCTCACCACTCCGGGATCACTCCTGCTTTGCTCAGGGGACCGTGCAATGATGGGTCTCCAGTCTGGGCCTCCCGCATGCCAAGTATGGGCTCCAGCCCACTGAGTTCTCCCTCCAGCCTAGAAACACTTTCTACCTAATACTCCAGAGTGGCGAGATTATGGTATTCATTTTATTTCCCTTTAAATAATGCGCAAGTTCCTATTTTTCCCTATCATGAATATGAATGATTCTACAGCCAGGAAATAAAAGCCTCAGGAACGCGATCGCCAGCACCTCTCTGCTGGCATGGCAGGGTCCCCACTTCTGGAGGCACTGACCAGCACTGCCCCTCTCTCCACCCCACTCCCGGTGCCCCACAGCCCACTCACTCGCTTTCCAGTCTTGCTCTCCCATATGAGTAACAGGACAAGCCGAACATGCCCACCTCTGGCCTCTGTTCACACCAGCCCAGTCTTCCAGGATGCTCCCCAGACCCCTTCCTGCATACCTGCCTGCAGCCTTCTACATCTCCCGCCTCCGAGAGTAGCCACAGAGCCAGTTCCCCGGGAGGGTTTCCCTGGTGACAGCTGATGTCTTCCTCCCCGCCTCTCCACCCTGGTCTCACACCCAAGGGTGCTGCTCTGTGCCAGACTTCCTGTCTATCCGCCTCCGCCCACCCCTGTGCCTGACGGGCCAGAGCCAGTCCTTCCTCCTCTCTCCCTCCCCAAGGACCAGCTGAGCCAGAGCTCAGAGCCACAACAAATATGTCTTCAGTGAGCAGAGGTAGCTCCTGAGATGCGGGGAAGAAGAATCCAGTCCCCTCCTGGCCTCTGTGATCCACAGTTTCCTTATCTGTATAAGGGGGATGATGGCAGCCTGCAAGTTGGATAATCATCTACCTGGTCCCTGAGGATCAGGATGGGATGTGGCTGCCCATCAAGGAAGGAGGAGGCAGGGCAGTCTGTGTGTGTGTGGGGGGGGTGATTTTGGTGGTGCCCCTGCCAAGAGTGGCTTTGAGAATGACACTCCAGACATGGAACTCAGACTGTGTGTCCAGGGACTTGAGGGTCTCAACCCAGACTTCCGTCCTCTGGGTTTGCCCTCAGCTTCAGGTGTCTGGCCTGTGAAAGGGGGTGATGATTCCCAGTTCATCATGGTGAGGAAAACGGGGATGACAGTGCCCATCCCCCAGGGCAGCCAGGCCGAGGGAGGACCGACTGAAGGCCCTGGAGCGGCTTGGCGGGCCCCTCACAACAATCACTAACTTCACCCAGCCCCTCCGAGTACAGCGCCTGTTCTCACGCTCGCGGTCCCTTTCCCTTTCCTCCCGGGCACACGTGTGCATGTATAATATTAACACAGACATATGCGTGTCCCAATCTGAGTCCATGCTGCTATGCTAATGTTGTCTCACTTCCCGAGCTGCTGATGCTGGGGGGGAGGGTGTGGGACGCAGAACTCGGGGAGGGTTGACGCTGCTGCTTCCTTGATCATTGGGGAGCAGGGAAGATGTGCAGGGCTCCCTCGTGTTCTATCTGTCATTGTCTTTGCTCTCCAAGCAGCTTCGTTAGCCCCCCGCCCGGCCCGTTCCCTCCCCCAGAGCATTTCTGCTGGGTGCAGGCTGTGTGTGTGTGGTGGGGGGAGGGGCGGTCCACTGTCGCCCCCTGACTCACCCAGGCCAAAGTGTGCCACAGGCTCCATTTCGCACAGGTACCCCGAGCCCCCGTCGATGATCCTCAGGTGGGCTCCGCTCTTCTTGGTGTACAGCACCACCTTGGCACCCCTGGCGAAGGCCCCGAACCGGGTCCGTGGCACCACGCGCAGCCAGTTGTTGTTGAAGCCCTGGGGTGGGGGTGGGGGGGAGGGGGAGGCTCAGGGGGTTGAGCATTCAGGAAAGAAGAGGAGGCTGGGCCTGGGTGGGTGGAGAAGGCTCGAAGGGCTGGGAACACGCTTGGCATGTGGGAGCCCCAGGCTCGGTCCTGGCACCAGGCGTGCCCCCGAGGACCACCACTCAGTGTGAGCCCCAAACAGAACAACAAAAGAGACCATTGGCCCTGGAAAGAGGCGGGAGCCAGTAGGCTGGGGAGCTGGAGAACTCAGGGTGGAGGAACGCCTTTTCTCCTCGACTCCCTGAGGCTACAGTGCTGCAGGAACTGCGGGCAGTGGAGGCCCTCCAGACCCGCGTCCATGCCACATCCCACCAGGCTCCCCCAGTCAGCAAGGCAGCACCCCACCCGCACCACGAGGGCTCTGGGTGGGCCCCGGGGCCCCGACATCCTGGCACACCTGGTTTCCCCGGAAGACGGACAGCGGCTGAGCCATGGACTCTCCGTGGGACAGGACGAGGTCCAGCATGCCGTCTCCATCGAAGTCGGTCACCACGCCCCCTGCAGCAATGCAGAGGTCAGGCCTGGGTGGAGGGGTGGGGGCAGTGGGGGATAGTGGGGGGATGGCGGGCAGCTGCGGGCGGTGACCTGGCCACAGTGGGAGCGAGTGGGCAGAGAACCCCGAGCTGCAAGGCCTTCCCCAGTCCCCACAGGGACATGGGGCCAGCCGCCTCTCTAGGAGCCCTTCCCCTCCCCCCGGGTCTTTCTAGCATACTGGCCCCTTAGCGTGGCGCTGTCAATCTAGTGTTTGCATGTGCTTGGCCTCCTTTTAGCTGCCCTGAGAACCCAGAGAAGCAGTGGGGGTGAGGGGTGAGGGGAAGATGCCATTATCCTTATTTGATGCACAAGGAGAGTTAGACAACAAAGATGAAGAACTCTGTCAAGGCCACAAACGAGGTTACAACAGGACAGTGTCCTGTGACTCCTGGCGCCAAACTCTTCCTCTGACAGCCGCTGGGAAGCCAGGAGGGATCAGCTTGGAGGACCCTGCTGCTCCTTCCTAGTCCCTCTGGGCAGGCCTGATGCTGAGAGAATAGACCCCTCCCTGCTTCCTGTCTGGCATGCTGGGGCAGGTTGGGAGGGGGACTCCTTTATCTCCTGTTTCTCCCTCTGCTCCAGGGACTCCACCCTCAGACTTGCATAGATAGGAGGCCCCTCCCCATATCCCCTACCCTGGCTTGGCTGCTCCATCCTTCCCATCCTTACCTCAGGTCTGGACCACACGTGTGTGTGTGTGTGTGTGTGTGTGTGTGTGTGTGTGTGTGTGTTGCAGGCCAGAAGCCTGGCCACCTCACCTGTTCCCCGACCCTCAGGCTCCGAGGCATCGCCAGGATTCAGCTCCTCGATGAGAGGGTCACCGTGCTCCCGGCGGATGACGCTGCAGGGGAGAGGAGACAGGCCCGTTTTGGGGGGAGGAACACAGTGGCCAGAGCCCCGGGCACCCCTTCCTGCTCCATTCTCAGGGTCCTGCACGCCGGCCCCGCCATGCCCAGCTGCCACCTGTGCCCGGGGAGCCCCTCTCTGCTCACAGCCTTGCCCGCACCCTGCCTGCTCCCTTCCTGGGCTTTAATTTATGTGAGTAAATATTGATTTCACCATCTCTAATGGATGAATTATAGACAGCCCAGGGAAGGGCAGTTGATGGATGGAGAAGGGGCAGGAGCCCGGCCACCTTCAACTGACCTTCAACATTCCTGCCAGTGGCCTTCGGTTCCCGAGTTCCAGAGGCCACCCAGGTCTCGCCCTAAAATGCTTCCTCCTCCACACCTTCCTTGACATGGCCCCTGGGAGCAGGGCCTTTCTGCTCCCCATCACCCAATCTCGGGCCGCTTTTATCCCCTGGTGCCTGGTGTTAGCCGTCTGAAGGAATGCGCCTTATCGCCCCTCTTCAACATGAGCTCTTAGTCCACTCGGCCAGGGGTTATTCACCTCTCCGCCTCCCCCTACCCGCAACACTGCACTGATTCCTCGAGAGTGCTGAGCACGCAAGCACACGGTCACGCAAGCACACGAGCATGCAGCATCTGTGCAGACTCCCAGAGTGGGAGGGAGGCCGGGTGCATCGACATGGTGGGGGTGGGGGTGGGGGGGTGGCTTTGTCCGACTCGGGAAGGCTGCACACTTCCTGGTCCTCCCTGCTCAGCCTCCTGCAGCTGGGCACTCTACCCAGGCTGTGTGGCACGAAGCCCGGGGAGCTGGGGGGTCGGGGGTCGTCAGATCACTGGCAGGGGTCGAGTGTCCATCCAAACACAGTCACCAAAGGGCTAAGATCTGTGGCTGGTGCTTCTGGCATCCAGGGAACGCTGGAGACTGGTGCTAGGTGGCAAAGGGCACTGCCCAGGGAGGGTGTTTCTGTGTTTAGTACTGACATGCGTGTCTGGGGGGATGTCTTGGGCGTGCAGGCACCTGCATGTGGGGCAGGGAGGGAGTCGACATCCGAGTCTTGCTGGCATTCACAGTCTCTTTAGCTCTTTATGTCCTGCACCTTGGCCACAGATAGCCCTTGTCTGGGCGACAGTGAAGTTACAGGGTGAGGCTCAGCGGTTTCTCCGTCTCTGCACGTCACTGAACAAAACCTTCTGCAACAGCTTCTGTGTGTGCTCTGCATGGGGGCTCACGCTGGAGTGTGTGTGCACCAGGGAGGGCTTCCTGGTGCACCCTGGTAGGAAGGACCGGCTGAGCCAAGACCAGAATGAGGAGTGAATGAGCAATGGGGTGGTGAAGGGTGTGAGGGGAGTGAAGCCTAGCCCAGGCCAGAAGGAAACTGGGGTGTCTGATGGAATGAGAAAGGAGGGGCGTGGGGGCGGGTGGCCAGCCTGCATAGCAGGGTTGCTCCCCAAGGGGTTGGAGGCAGGTGCAGGATACCTTTTAGTGAGAGCCCCTGAGGGGTGTGAGTACTGAGTGGAGGAAGGGCCAGTGGGAGGCTTAGCTGTGCCTGTACATCCCACAGAACTGGGTAAGGGTCCCTCTTTAGTCCGTGGACAGAGCCCATCACTCAGGAAGGGTCCGGTTTGTGACAGATCCCTTCATGCTCTCAGCACGCGCATCATTACATGATGTGGAGGTAGAACCCCGAGCCAGAGTACCCAGCACCTCTTCCAGAAGCCCACGTGTCCTTCTGTCCAGTCTTAGGTGAAAGGTCAGACAGGAGGGGATAGACATCCAGTTGAGTGGTGACCCAGATGTGACCCACACCCCACTTCTTTTTTTAAAATTTTATTTTTTTTAGAAAGTGGTTCACAGTATTTGATTACATTTAATATTCGAATGCCAATCCCACCACCGTTATACTGTCCCACCACCATATTTCGGATGCTTCCACCCCGATCCCCGACTCCTGCCCCAAAGCAGAACCGAAATAATTTATTTCGTATTGTTTGTTATGAAACAACACTTTGACGCTGAGAATGCTTCAAAAAAGTTTCCTTAGAGGAAAGGGCTGGAGCGATAGCACAGTGGTAGGGCATTTGCCTTGCACGTGGCTGACCCGACTGACCCAGGTTCGATTCCTCCGCCCCTCTCGGAGAGCCCGGCAAGCTACCAAGAGTATCTCGCCCACACAGCAAAGCCTGGCAAGCTCCCCGTGACGTATGCAATATGCCAAACACAGTAACAACAAGTCTCACAATGGAGACATTACTGGGCCCGCTCGAGCAAATCAATGAACAACGGGAGGACAGTGGGTAGAGGAAAGTGCAACACCCCACTTCTACTGGGTACTCAGGACAGGGCCATCGGCCACGGGAACTGGGGCGGGGGAGGGGGGGCACAGTCAAGTACCCAGGGAAGCTTGCACTGCTGTGGCTTAGCAGCAAATACACTGACCCTGTGGACTGTGGGCAGTCCTGAGCCAGCCTGCTCTCAGGCAGCCGGAGGGAAGATAGGACAACAGTGCCGGGGCATGGGAGGTGTCTGGACTCTTGGGTCACCAAGACCAGAGCACTCGATCCATGGGTGCTCCAGGCACTGGCAAGTGTAGTGACACTTTATTAGCCAGAGAACGAAAGCGGTGTCTCTGTTAACGAGCAATTGATCTTCCGCAATTAATCTGGAAGTTGTGAATAAGCTTTTTGCAAGGCACCTAATTAGTAAATCTGGTGCCTTCGGGGGGTGATTACAACCAGTCAGGATTGATGCTTTGTTAATAATTATATTTTAAAACATGCGTAGTCACAGATCTTGCCTTTTTATTACTAGTTGGGGTCCTCCGAGGGGGAGCGGGTGGAGGGTCCCTGGGGAACAGAGCGAGTGAGCTGGCTCATTTTGGGGTTCTAAGCCCTCTGACCTGTCTGCTTCTCCCCACCTGCTACATGGCCCCGTTAGCACCTTTCAGACCAGGGCCAGAGTCTGCTCAGGCCACGCAGGTCCGCCCTGGCTCTGGGGTGCTAAGCTTAAACCGTCTGATGCTTGAGGACACTGGTTCGAACAGAGAGTCCTGGTGGATCCCGTGCAGGCCTAAGGCCTTAGGTTTGATGCTGGCACCACCAACAAACAGAAAACAACACACACGAGGAAGTAAAACCCCGAGCTCTTCCCTGCTCCCTCCCCTTGAAGGTCGTGGCTCAGGAGGCAGGGTTTGTGCTGCGGTTTGTGCTTTCTGAGCCACGAGGTGCCACTGCCCCAAACACAACCCTTCCTCCCAGCTAGGCCAACCCCCAGTGGCCGGGATTCCTTCCACCCCGCAACACCCTTTTCAAAGGCTACCTGTCAGTCCTCACTCTGTGTTTCCCAAAGGGCCTAGAGAGAGAACCAACCCCCAGGGGGAAGCTCTGACAGGTGCGTCTGGAGTCAGCTCCATTGAGAATCACCCTTTGGAACATGAGAGACCCCCTACAGCCGGGGTAAAGGCTGAGACAGCCAGCAGCCAACAGACTGCCCACGAGCTTCAGCGGGCACACAGCCTTGACTCCAGGACACCCCGAGGCGTGGCCCACTCACCTCTGCCCCCAGGAGCCTGGCTTCAGGGCGCACCCCAGCCCTCACCACCTGCTGCTTCCTCTCCAACAACAGAAAGTCGCTTCCTGCTGGGACTTGCAGGAAGTCCCAGCCTTCCTCCTGTTCCACCAGAGCCTTGGGCTCAGTCCCTGCGCTTTCTCGGTTGTGTCCTTCCTTCCTTGACACCCCTGGGATTCCCCTCCTGAGTCTTACACCTTCTGCCCTCCTCCCCATCCCCCCCTGCCCGCCCCCGCCCCCACCAGGGTGCGTGGGGAGTGGGCGGCAGGTTGACTCACGAACCGGAAGAGGCGGTTGGCCGAGGGGCTGCGGTGGGCGAAGTTGTTGAAGAAGATCTCCAGCTCCTGGTCATTGTCGAAGTCCGCGGCAATGACCGTGCGCACGGGGGAGGGCATGGAGAACTTAGGGGAGGCGATGTCCTGGGGGAGAGAGGACTATTGGCTAAGGGGTGGGAGTGGCCTCCCTCAGCGGTGGGAGGGGTGCAGGGTCAGGTCAAAGACCACTGGACCTGGCCGCCTCTCTCCAGCCCAGTGAGGGGTTTGGGGGAGCCCACACAAAGCTCAGGCTGCGGCAGGAGCAGGAGAGGAGGTAGAGTGCTCGTGGCGCCTGGAAGGGCTCTCCGTGCTCCCAGAGCACCCTCGGCCCTCCAGGGCACATGCTAGCTCGACACTCCCCACGTGAGTGGGCAGTCCTGCGGGAGGCAGGGTGATGCCTGGAGCCACGCCTAAGAGCGAGGCCATGGCCCAGCCCTGAGTGCAGCTGCTGTGGGCTCATGGTCCTTCTCCGCCGTGGACATGGGCAGCTCGGCACCCCCCTGTGGTGGTGCCTTCTGTGCCATCCTAGGCAAGGGGCCGAGTCCTGGAGGGTCTCACCACCTTGGCCACAGGGGAAAATATAGCTGTAAGATGCTTGTCAGATGCTTGGCACCGCATCTGGACATATGTTGATACGTGTCCATACTATGTCCATACTGCATACTGTGTCCACACTGTGTCCACACTATGCCCCTTGCCTAGGATGGCACAGCACTTGGGCACAGCATGGATATAGAGTGGACATAGTGAGTACAGTGGACAGAGTGTGGACAGAGTGTGGAATTAGTGTGGATATACAGTATGAACACGACGTGGACACGGTGGGGATAGAGTGTGGACATAGAGTGGATATAGTATGGACATAGTGTGGATATAACATGGACATAGCGTGGACATAGAGTGAACACAGTGTGGATACTATGGACATAGCGTGGACATGGTGTGGACATAGTGTGGACACGGTGTGGACACAGTGTGGACATGGTATGAACATAGTGTGGACCTGGTATGGACACGGTGTGGACACAGTATGCAGTATGGACATAGAGTGGACATGTGTGGAGATAGTGTGGACACATGTGGACAGAGTGTGGGTATAATGTATGGACATAGGGAGCACAGTGGACAGAGTATGGGCAGTGTGGTCAGTATGGTACAGACACTGATCAGGGCAGTCTGGCCTGGCCTCCTGTTGTACCTCCCGGGAGTGGACAGGGGTTGTTCTGACTAAGTTGTTGCCTTTTCCACCTTATGTTGTTTCCTGGGAGTCTGACTTTTCTTTTTTTTTTCTTGAGACATTTACTTTGGGGGGGGGGGGGCTGCAATAAGCCCTGTCCAGGGTTCTGGAAAGACCCCAGAACAGCTGAGATTCCAAAGTACTGCCAAGACCTGGGCAGGCTGGCAGAGTCCTGGGTACGAGACTTGCTTTGGCTAGAGCAGAGTTGGGTTAGGAGGAAGGAGTCTGCGGATGGGGCTCTGCCTCGAAGGTGGGGGGCGCCGGCTAAGCCTCAGGCCTCCCGCGCAGGGGGCTGGGCAGCCTCTGATGTGGGAGGCCCTTCTGGCCCTCCCACTCCCACCTCCCCTGTTGGCCGCAGGAATGAGCCGGCCTGGGACCGCTGGCCAGCTGCCTGTTCTGGGCGGTGGTGGGGAGGCCGTCCCCGTCGGCGCAGTAATGAGGCTGATTAAGAGCCCGGCCAGCTGGCCAGAGTGGGCTGAGCTGGAGAACAGAGACCTCGGGATATCTGACTCATTACTATTCTATTGATCTTATAAACATGAAAACCTACACTTGCCCCTTCTGGGCCGCTGTCCCACCGGGCGCCAGGATTAACATCCGAGAGATGCCAAGCACAGTTCCAGGCGTGTGCAGGGCGCAGGAGAACTGTGGTTAGTCTGCGGCTCCTCTGGGCCCTGTCAAAGGGCCGAGGGCAGGGACAGTGGGTGTCCCCACCGCAGCCCTGGACAGTGCTGGTCTGTGTGTTCCAGGACAGTGGGCAGCGCCCCGGCCTTTAACTGCCCACTCAACCTTCATGTGCCTGCAGTTATACTCTCCCCACTCCTCAGAGAGGATGGGGGTGGAGGTTGGGGGCAGAACTCCCACCTCCAGGACATGCCAGGTGATTCCCAGTGCTGGGTGGGGACACGAGAGGGTGGGGACAGTCCTCTTACCCGAAACCGAACTTTCCCGTGGGCGCTCATCTGCAGGTAGAGTCGGTGGGGGCCGTTCCAGTTGCCGTAGACGATGTCCACTTTGCCATCCCTGTTGAAGTCGGCCAAGGCCACCCCCCGGCCGTGCTGGTGGGGGTCATCCACACCTGGGGGGCAAAGGCGGGTGCCCTCAGAGTGGGTCCCTCACTGTAGACACTTGTGTGGCTGAGGCTCTGCAGTGAGGGGGCACCCTGGTCCTGTCTCCGGTGGCCCATGCTGCCCACGGGCAGGGTTTCTTTGTGTGACAGGCCACTAAAAGGGGCCAAGCCTTCTCTTTCAACTGGACCCAGCCCGCACGGTTCCTGCTCACTTTTTTGTTTTTGTTGTTAGTGTTTTGTTATTTTGATTTTTGGTCCACACCTGACAATGCTCAGGGCTTACTCCTGGCTCTGTGCTCAGGAATCACTCCTGGCATGGCTTAGGAGACCATATGGGGTTCCGGGGATTGAACCCGGTTCAGCTGTGTAAGGGCAAGCGTCCTCCCCACTTTACTATCACTCCAGCCCCATGGTTTTGGGGCAGCGAGGGTGGGGAGGAGGAGGGGAACTGGAGACTTTCTAGGTGACCTCAGCTCTGTCCCCGGGAGGCACTGACGAGGGTCACCCTCAGTACTCTAGGGGTAAGTCCAAACTCCCGATGGGGCGCCCATGGTTCCTGCTACCCTCACCTGGTCTCTATCTGGTTGCCTCTGCCCTGTCTCACTAAGCTTCTGGTCACCCCCTGACCCTTTCATCTCTCAAACAAACCAAGTTTATCTCAGCTTGGTCACATTTGCCTGGGCTGGTGTCCTCCTAACATACGCCTTTTCTCATGATCTCAGCAACAACTTCACCTCCTCAGCAAAGCCCTCCTGGACTGCTAGTCCCCCCCCCCAAATCTGGTTATTCGTTTCCATGGTCCCCATCAACACGGGCCACTAAGTTTCCTTTTGGGGGTGACTTGGCCGTGCATCCCACTCAGGCTACGCTGCATGGGGTGAGGAAGAGTCTTCTCGGGCACCCGAGCGACCCCCAGATCTATCTCAGTGCCGAGAGTTTCAGCCACTACTTGCCAAATGAAGGAAGAGACATAAATAATGTGGGGGAAGTGGCATGGCAGGGTCTGCGGGGGAACTCTGTCCCCCCACGCAGAGAGACGGGGAGCTCACACAAGGGAAGCCTGTGGGGGGGGTCTGTGTCACCTTCCGATGACAGCCGGCCTGGGAGGAGGCCAGGGAGGCTGGAGTGTGGCTTTGCCAGGGCGGGCTGGGCCTCCTGACTGTCCAGCAGATCAGCCCTCAGACACACACGAGCCAGAGGTGGTGGGTCTGCCCGAAGTCCCCACGCTGCCCCTTAGAGCAGATGATGGGGGGGTGGGGAGGGAGCCCCAGGGCTCAGGGGGCTGCCAACACAGAGACCACGAGACGGGGATCCTGGGGAAGGGGACGGTGACTCCCCTGGATCTGGGGGTGCTGAGCATCCTTCGGCGGGGTGGGCGGGAGAGGTGGCAGTGAGACCCCGGCTTGCGAGAGAGAGGGCTCACGGTGAAGTGGGGCCTGCAGGATGAACCTCCCCATCCATCCTCGGCAGCGTGCGCCCCACTCCTGTCAGCGGCCTTCCGCGCTGGCCCATCTCTCTCCCCGCGTACGGAGGCACCTTGACAAGGAACTGGTTCCCGTTGGCGGGAATGATCGGTGCCAGGCTGACTTTCTCAGCAGCATCTGTTTGGGTGATGAATGCCCTCTTGACATGTCTTGTTAAACCCCTGCAATCATTCTGGCTTTCAATTACGGGCCTCGCACCTTCCTCTCTCCCCCTGCTGGAGACCTTCTCCCGCCCCCAACGTGTGCGCTCACCTCTGCTCCCATCTCTTTAACACCTCATCAGATCCTTGAGGGGCTTCCTCTGCCACCTCCCCTTCCTCCGAAGATTTTCTAGCAATGGGGCGGGGGGGGGGGGTGGATGTGCTGCGGGTGTGTGTGTGGCACCGGGCGGGGCAGGCAAGGGCAGCCTGGTGCAGCCTCCCACCTGGCCTTTGTCTGGGAAGCAGGAGAGGAGAAGGCAAGACTGGGGGTCTCACGGACTGCAAGCGAGGGTGTGGGGGGAAACGGCGGGAGGCACTGAGCCACGTCTCAGGCAAGCCTTGAACACTCCTGGCTTCAAGCCAGCCGTCAGGTCCAGCCCGCCCTGCAGGACTTTGTTTTTTTCTTTTTGGGTCACACCGGGTGCTGGACAGGGGTTACTCCTGGCTCTGCATACTCAGGAATTACACCTGGAAGTGCTTAGGGGACCACATGGGATGCTAGGAATCAAATCCAGGTCAGTTGCCTGCAAGGCAAATGTGCAAGGCTGTGCTATCGCTCCTGCCCCCGCCCACAGGACTTTTGATCCTGGTCCTGAGATGCCCACTTGCCTCTCCCATAGGGCAGAGCCCTGTGGGTGACACCAAACCCTCCATTCAGGGGAAGGTCGGGGAAGACACGGGGAGGGAGAAAGGGCTGAGACACAGATCAGTCAGATCGACACACTTGAATGATGTGTCCATTCTGTCATCCGGCAGCAGGGACTGGGGCGACACGGTGCTGCCTGAACACAGGAAGACTGAGCTGCTCAGGGCCCATCTTCCTAGGCATAGGCTGATGAGCAGAGGAAGGTGGAGGCAGGAAGGGAGGGATGTGCAGGGCTGGGGAACCACAGAGGAGGGAGTGTCAGTCTCTGTGAGACAGTATTGGGGGGTGGGTATGGGGGCACGAAGGAAAGGCTTCCCACCATTTGAGCTGAGCGTTGAAGGATGAACACAAGATCTGCAGAGAGAGATTTGGTAAGGCACTCTTCAGGGAGCAGAGCTGGCAGGTGCAAAGGCCCTGGGGCAGATGAAGGATGAGCACAAAAGGAGGAGGAGGAAAGCAGAGCGGGAACCCCCAGCACTATTGAGTGTGGATTCCATCCTGCTGCTGCTTAAACAAATTTGTGGTGCCACACATGGTGCCTCCAGGGTGCCTGTTCTGGAGATTCAATTCAGGGACTCAGACATGCCAGTCATGTGCTAGACCACACGAGCTAGCTCATTGCCCCCAGGTTCTGCTTCTTCTTATGGCTGGTAGTTGGTTGCTCTGCAGGTAGTGAGTGTGTATGTGTGTGTGCGGGGGGAATACTCTGAGACTTTTTCAGGTCAGCACCCTCCCTCTTAGCACCCCTATCCCGACAGTTAGCAGGGGTTCTAGAAGTGGTTATGGGCAGGGAGGGAATGTTTAAATAAACGTGGGGTGGGGGTGGGAATCAGAAGCACCGAGGGGAGACTGAGGCAGAGGCAGACAGTGGGACTCAGCCAATGGCAGTGTGGCGTGGGGACCTGCCCAGAGCTCAGGCCCTACTCCACAGTAAACCCAGCTTCCAGGGGGGTGCAGCCTTGTTCCCAGGCACAGATGGGGGGTGGGGGGTGGCCAGGAGCCTGCAGAACCTGGAGTCCCCAGGGCCTGGGGCTGGGCCAGGGGCCCAGGGCCACACTCACCTGCGCTGGCCGCGGCATCCACAAAGGTGCCGTCCCCGCGGTTGTGGAAGAGGAAGTTGGGTCCGTTCTCATTGTCGCAGAAGATGTCTGAGGCGCTGCTGCTGAGGATGGGGCCCACGCTGACACCCCGGCCACCTGAAAGTGAGGGACACGGTGAGCAGCAGAGGCCAGGGCTGGGCTGGCCCTGAGACACGAGGCCTTGGGGGAGCCATTGGGGGCTGGGAATTCTGACCTTCCTGGGGGATTCTGACCTTCCATCAGGGAGATTCTGACCTTGGGGGAGTTCCGACTTTCCTGAGGAGGTTCTGATCTTCCTGGGAGGTTCTAACCTTCCTGGGGGGTTCTGACCTTCCTGGGGTGGGTTCTGGCCTTCCTGGAGTGTGTGGTGGGGGGAGGTTCTGGCCTTCCTAAGGGAATTCTGACCTTCCTTTGGGGGGTGGAGTTCTGACTTTCCTTTTGGGGGTTCTGGTCATCCTAGGGGGGTGCTCTGACCTCCCTCTGCCATCTGCCCTCTGTGAGGAGGGTGAGCCCGCTAGTGGCTGGTGAGTGGTACCCAGAACGCGTCACTCTGCCCCAGGCTGAACCCTGTTGCTAGGTGACCTCCAGGCCTGTCTCTGCAGCAACTGTGAACCCCAGCTCATCTCCCACAGCCTGGTGTCCAAGTCCAAGTCCCCTCTCCAAGGCTCACAGCTGGGCTCCTGCTCCCAGGAGCCTGGAGGAGCATCTCCAGTAACAGGCCTGAGGACCCCTGCCTGGCTGTGCCTGGGGTAGAAGCCCCCTGGAAGAACCTGCACTTCCCAGGTGGGACCTTCCCAGGACACACTGTCCCCTGGCCTCTCAGTACCCAGCAGGTCCCAGCGGGCTGGTGGAGGCGAGTGTACACACACTGTGGAAGGGAAAGGCCCTTGGCCAGGTGATGGCATTGTGGACACTCACCTTTATTGAAATACATAGGAAAAGACTAGTTCTGGATGTTTATACACACTGATTCTTGAGTTTGGGATGAGTAGAAAAGGCTATGCATCTCCCACACTAGACAGGCCCTTGGGGGGTAGAATTTGGTGAAGACAGATGGCCGGCTGACCTCTGGGGGAATTTCTCTCTCTCTCTCTCTCTCTCCATATATATATATATACATATATATATATACATATATATATATATATATATATGTGTGTGTGTGTGTGTGTGTGCAAGGCAAAGGGCTGGAGTGATAGCACAGCGGTAGGGCACTTGCCTTGCACGCGACTGACATGCCCAACCCAAGTTCGATTCCTCCGCCCCTCTTGGAGAGCCCGGTAAGCTACTGAGAGTATCTCGCCCGCACAGCAAAGCCTGGCAAGCTACCTGTGACGTATTCGATATGCTAAACACAGTAACAAGAAGTCTCACAATGGAGACGTTACTGGGCCTGCTCGAGCAAATCAATGAACAATGGGAGGACAGTGCAGTGCTACATAAGTAAAAAAAGTAAAGGCCCTCCCGTTGATCATCGATTAGGGCTGGAGCGATAGCACAGCGGTAGGGCGTCTGCCTTGCACGCAGCCAACATGACCGACCCGAGTTCGATTCCTCCGCCCCTCTTGGAGAGCCCGGCAAGCTACCGAGAGTATTCGATATGCCAGACACAGTAACAACAAAGTCTCCAATGGAGACGTTACTGGGCCCGCTCGAGCAAATCGATGATCAACGGGAGGGCCTTTACTTTTACTTTACTTTATATATATATATATATATATATATATATATATACACACACACACATATATATTATACTTTTTGGATATATGTTTATTTGGTCCCCACCTGGTGGTGCTCAGAGCTCTTTGCTCTGGGGTCACTCCTGATAGGGCTTAGGGAACCATATGGGGTGCCAGGGATCAAACCTGGATTGACTGTGTGTTAGCTAAGTACCTTACCCACTGTACTATTGCTCTGGCCCCATGTCTTTGTATGTTTTAACTTGGTGCCTCAAGAATAAAGTCAGTGTTTTGAAAGACAAAAAAAATACAGTAAAGTTAGACTTGGGGACATATCTGGCAATGCTCAGGGCTTCCTCCTGCCCCATGCTCAGAGGTCATTCTGGTGGACCATATGTGGTGCCAGGGATGGAGTGGAGACTGGCCATGTGCAAAGCAGACATCTTCACCCTTGCATCCTGGCCTCTCATTTATGATTTTTTAAGTTTATTTATTTTCATTTATGATTTTTTTTAAAGAAGGAAATTAGGCTAACTCTACACAGAGTTCAAAGCATCCAAATTCAGATTTAAGCTACTCGTGCCAATAGGAACAGACCACCCCAGCCAGTGGGTTTCCAATAAAGCCCCAAAGCCCTCCCTTTGCAACACTCCCAATCAATATGTCCCCATCGATGACTAAACCTATCAGGAAACAGTCCCTTAGGACATGGATTCTAGCCCAGCGTGGCTTTTCTCACATGGCAGCGAGACCTGGGGCTATTTCTGCTAGGCACTTGGACTCAGTTTTCTCATCTGTTAAATGGGGATACCATCACCTGCCTTTTTTAGTAGGGGAATGGAACCAGGCAGGGCAAGCGCTCTGTTGCTGAGCTAACTCCCTGGCCGGCTGGCCTGCTCTGTTTCAGGGGTTGAGGCTGGAGACTTTGCTTGGTGAAACCAGACTTCAGCTTGTGGCCCAGCAAGTGGGGGGCAGAGGGCGTGGAGGTGGGTGCTGTCCCCTGGGAGTTTGTTATATGCAGAATCTCAGCCTTCTGCCCACCCTGCTTGCTAACCAGCCTGGCGGTTTCTAGGTGTAGCCAAGTTTGCAAAGCGCAGCTGTGCAGAGCTGGCCGGGACAGTCAACATCGTTCTCTGAGCACCCAGAGAATGTCCTTTTCAGTATCTCTTCTAAACAAATCAGAGTTCAGGTTGATCTGGGGGACGCTGAGCCACGCCGCTCCCCCACTTCCTGGACGGGCTCTGCGGGGGTCAGAATTCCCACAAAGTGTGTGACCTGGGCCTGGAGGCTCCTGTGGACGCCACACTCGTCTGCTGTAAGAGGCCCCTGGGAGGAAGTGTGGCTCCTGAGCCCCAGGGGCTGGCGTGGGCGTCCCCAGCACCATCCACTCACGGCCCGCACGGGTGGGCTTGCTCACAACTTCGTGGGTCTTGAGTCTCCCAGTGCCTCTGCTCGGTGCTCAGCGACAATCCAGGTCAAGAAAACGAAGCCACGATTGTATTTGTTTGGGGGAACAAGGGGGGTCGTTCAAGAGGCGTCCTGGTAGGGGGCAGGAGGGTTTGGTGGAAGCCAGCAGGGAGGGGTGCGGCTACACTCGGCAGCCCCAGCTGTCCTGCCTGGCTCCCCACATTCCTGCAGGGTGCTGGGGGGACTTGCCGCCGCCACTCTTCATCCCTGTGCCCCACGCCGGCATCTGCCCGCGCTCTTCCTCCCGGCGCCGTGACACATTCCCTTCATTTTCTACAAAGCAGGTTATTTCCCTTTTGGACAAATTTCTAAATCTTTCTAATTAACTAATTGGGTTGGGTTGAAGCCTTGCACCATTTGTGACCTGTAATTACTAGAAAATTGCCATGGTAACCACACTACTAATTAGTGACAATTTATCGCCATGGCAACCAGACCGTAACAGAGATGTTACCCGGATCTCCTGGATCTCCTCCGGCTTGGCAAGTTCACTGCACAGTTGGGGAGCAGGTAAGTCAGGAGCGGCTTCCCAGGCAGCCACTCCAGCACCTCAGGCTTGGTGGTGGTGGTGGTGGTGGTGGGGGTGGGGGTGTGCCAAAACGTGGTGGCCCAGCACCTTCAGCCCTCCCTGTGACTGGTGCGACTGTGTGTGTGTGTGTAGCGGGTGTTATTCTGGGTCCATCCCATCTGGCCGCTTCCAGTCAATGAAAATACCCATCAGGAGTGCAGACACCCCGCCCCTGCAGCCAAGGGGCCCCACCTCTGCAGGGACCTTCTCTCTGGACCCACCCTATGTCCCTGCCATCAGCTCCTCCGGAGCACCCACCAGGCTTCCCTCCTTTCCCACCAGGGTGCCTAGAGGGCCGCCTTCATACTCAGGGCCACACGTGCTCTCGGGACAAGTAGTCTGTAAGTGCTGGTGTGGGGAGGGAGCAACCACCTCCTGTCAGGCTGGGGATCATCGCAGGGGTTGCCATGGAAACTGGAGGGGGCATCTGTTTCCTCCCTGTCCCAGAGCACTGGGCACAGGAGCTCCTGCTTGGGGCTGGCAGGAGGGAGCTGGGCCCCCCCGCCCTTTGGTGGGTGCCACCCGATGATTAGCTGCTAATTTCCCACCTGCTGGGGGATTAATATCCCTTTGTTTCCCCAACACCTCGGAGCTTCAAAGGGCTCCTTGATCTGCTGTTGGGTGCTAAGGCTCCCGGCCCTTCCCTTCCCGCACGGCTGGGCAGGACAGGTGCCCGTGCGGGTACAGTGCCTCTTTCTACAGGCCGGCTGCCCTTGGGTGGTGTGTCCGTGGCACCAGATCCGCATAGGCACTCCTCATACTCTTTTTTTTTTACTTTTTGGGTCACACCCAGCGATGCACAGGGGTTACTCCTGGCTCTGCACTCAGGAATCACTCCTGGTGGTGCTCGGGGGACCATATGGGATGCTGGGAATCGAACCTGGGTCGGCCGTGTTCAAAGCAAACACCCTACCCGCTGTGCTATCGCTCCAGCCCCACTCCTCATACTCTTAAGACTGTTCCCCTAAACCTCTGAACCCACACACTTGGTGATGCAGACTCAGGTCCAATTTGAGGTATACAGGTTACATCTCTCTGATGACCTCTGAGGGCTGGGATGGTGGGGTGAGGAAGAGGAGAGGGAGCAAGGGTGGGGAGGGAGGGAGATCCTGAGGAGGGAGGAGAAGAGGAGGGTTCCAGTGCAAAGGGAGAGATTTTCCATCCACTTGGGCTGGGCTGCTCTGGTTCTGTGCTCTGGGTATACACGCATGGGTGTGTGTGGGCATGCATGCATGCATGAGGGCATGCATGCTCCAGCCTCAGACTCCTTCCGCTGTTTCCCACAAGACCCCCACCTCCAGGAGGTACCAAGGGGTGGGCACACTCAGGAGGTGAGCCCTGGGCTCTCAGCTAGTCTGCACTATTGGAGGCCCTGAGCGAGGCTGGTGGGCCAAGAAACT